TTAAAACTTACAGAAAAACTTCAGAATGTGAAAACAGTTCCTAGTCACAACATTCACATAAATCTCTCATCCCGTCACTGTTGTTTTGTTAACCTATAGCCAGTTTTTAGGTATATGTACTAAAAGCATTTTACATATATTATCTTATATAATTCCTGGAATAATCTTGTGAAACATATTATTTCCATTCCATGGTGGTAATTGGGGCTTTGTACTAAAGACTTGGTGGTAGTGGGGTGTGCTGCTAAGATACTGTGTTCCATAGGCTAGGACTATATAAGAGGCCCAGAGGCCCAGATTCCAGGTCTAACCTCAAAGCCAGGCACATTGGCCTGCACTTGTAGTCTCATCTAATGAGGGAGGCGGACGGTGGAAATCTCAAGGTGGCCTAGGGAACACAAAGGGATCTTGTCCAAAAAAGAGCCAGGCATGGTGGTATGCACCTTATCCCAGCTAGGAAGATGGGGCAGGAGGAGCACAACAGCAAGACTGTATCTTTAAAAAAAAAAAAAAAAGAAGTAGGAGAAGTAATTACTAAACTAGCTGGAGCTATCTGCCTCATAACATGTTCTCAGGCTCTTAAAAAATGGAGCCCAGTGTTTGTTCAAAACCGAGCTCTAACAGTGGCTGTCATTCTGCTTCTTATCCTTTAGGAACCTGTGTCATCCAGCCTCTGAGGCGCACACCAGGGTGAAAAACTTGGCATCTCAAATATCCAGCTAATTCTACATTTGGTAGCTGTTTCCTCATGCTCACAAACTCCTTGAGACCATGCTAACAGCCACTAACCCAGTGATTTCTGAGTAACCCCACTTCCTCAGTCTTCCACCTTACCCCAGACCACTTTACCACAGGTCTGGTTGTTTGTACAGACACCAGAGCACCCTGTGGGTGCCACCCACACCTCCAGGGACTCAAGAAACCATGCACACAGCCCATCTGCACAGTTCTAACCCTATCTTCCCTCTAAGGACCTAGAAGTTGCTCCTCCATCTCTATTCTGAAGAATGGCTCCGAGATCCAAAACCTCCCCTTTACATATGAGAAAGACAACCAGAGCCTGTGTGTGACTGGGTCTGGGTGGCGCAAATCATCACAGCACCAGTTTTGAAATTACCATGCCAGCGCATCTGTACCCTCCGACTTGCCCAGCAGGACTTCCCTCCAGCCTCAGAACCTCTGCATCTTCCAAATGCTTAAGGCACCTATCTAAACAGTAACCATGGAACACCCCCGCCCCCCCAGCTCTCAGGGATCCTGACCCCATACCTCCCGAGAGCAGGAACTTCATCAGCTCCCTCAGGTCGCTGAGGGATTCCGAACCCCCCACCACCACCACCACCACCGGGAAACAGGAGTTGAGGCACACTTAAGGCGCTGAGGGCTCTGATATTAATAACTCCCACCCCTACCCTCCAGAGCTGAGTTCGCAGTCCCTATTCTCCACAACGGTCAGACTCCCACCGCGGCAATCACGCATTCACGTGATTCTGCTCACCCCATTCACACCCTTCGACTAAACACACCACCCCGGAAAAACCCAAATCGATTGCCCCTCGTCAGGCACTCACTGCTCGGCGCGCTCGAAGAGTCCAAATTTCTCTCCAACTGGAACCGAGCTACTGCTACTCCGCAGGCTCCCACCAGACCTGCCCACAGGCCAGTCTGCCACGCCCCCCGAGCTTATTGGCTCTAGGATACTGTCCCATGCTCCGCGCCTCGTGCAGCCGTCCGGCCCCCGCACAGCCTCGATTGGCTCCTCCGGCCGCTGTCATTTTCTCATTGGTCAGCATGCTGACCGGCAGTGATAGGTCCACGTGCAGGAGAGGCCGCCCCGGTGCGTTGATTGGAAGCCTGACCGGAAGCCACGCCCCATACACTTTCGCGGTTCCTATTGGCTATAAAAATAACAACCGACCTGCCTAGATCGGTGACGTAAATGCCAGTCCTGCCCCCCGAACTTTCTCATAGGCTGAGAGGTCTCGGAGATGTAGGGTACACGTGCCGGTGTTCTCACGCGGCAACTTGTTTACCCAGAAGCTGGGGATTTTCCTTGACGACATGCCCCGGCTACGGAGTCTGCGCAGGCGCAGCGAACATGACTCGCACGCAGGCGCAAAAGTGAGCGGCGGTGGCTAGCTGGGAGCTTTGTACCGAGACCCAGGTGTGACAGGAGCGCCGCCGCGCTGGGGCTCTGACGCTAAGGTACGAGTCTCCCCGACGCTGGAAGGTGGGATTAGTAAGAGGCGGCCCTCAAATAAGCGCCGCATCATGATAATGATAACGGTGACAGCGGCTTCCTGAGTGTTTTTGGGAGCCCAAGGACAGGAGCTTCTCACAAACTCCGAGGAGACCGACTCACTCCCTATCCACTGCATCTCAAACGAAACGAAACTGTGATCCGGAGAGGTTACACAATCTGCCCCAATTAGCACGCTACTACTCAGTAATAGGGCTGAGATGTGAAACCAGATACTGAGCACCATAAAGGCATGTGCTAGGGTCTATGGGAGTACAAAACCCTGAGCACCGTTTGGCATATAGTAAAGGGTCGATGAACGTGAGCGTTATGACTGTGTACCTAATCCCAAGAATCACTAGGGCCGTTTAGAACCGCCAAGTAGGAATCTCCAGGGAAGGAGCCTGAAAAGCCATTTTCAAACATACATTATTAGGAGAGAGAAAAAAAGAAAAAGAAAAAAAGATACCTTGTTAGTTCTGAGGAACTAACAAGTTTGGGAAACATTATCTAGGTTTCCTATACTACTGGATCATTATGCTACAACCCAGAGAAGACGGCCTTCCAGTGCTCACCTAGCACTCATTGTTGAAATGCAGGGCGACAGGGATGCCAAGGTCCCACGTGAGGCTGATTATGGACCTAGTAGCCCAGAATACAGTGTGCGGTCTAGAGTCACAAGTCATACAAATACATGGAAGGGTAGTAGGCCATTGCCAGGTACAGTCATCTCCATACCACATTCAGCTGGGTCTCTGTGAGTCAATCATTTCAACAAGTATTTGTTAACCCCTTGTAGACACTGGCACTGAGCTAGGCATAAAGGAGAAGAGATGCTTCATGGAACCGGCCATTTACTTCAAGCCTATGACTGAATGATCATGGGAGCTCCTGCGTAGCATCTGGGAGTTGAACTGAGGGGTAGAAAGGGGTCCAGCAGCAAGAGTATGCTTCAGAAAGAAGGGTTGAAGGAACTGGGACCAGCAGACTGCAGGGTTCATCGGGTTTAGAGACAGGGGTCCATCATGACGTTCCCATTACCGACCTCTGGTGCCCCCCGGTGGCCACTTTGGCAATCGCACTTTTGCATCACCCAAGGTCAGGCAGGGCCTCCTGCAAAGCCCAGTCCCCTATAAGTCAACCTTCCTGGTGCAGATCTAATACCCTTTCCGTTGGTTAAGAAAAAAATCTTAGAACAGACACCACCTGGTTACTCATTACACATTTATTGTACATTTTCACAATCTGGATGCGCCACAGAATTGGGGGAAGAGGTGGGGAAAGAGGGGGGCAGGGGACACTGGGATAATATGGGGGGGTCTAAAACACAGCACCCCCACCCCCAGCATCTCTCCTACCCTTTCACACCACAGCTTAGATCTCTCTGCTCCCCCTCCACACACAGAGAAAACCTCGAGTGTGGGGGGAAGGAAGAGTTTGGGAGGCCGCCTCCAGTGGCAGGTAAAAGGAGGATACCCTCAGACCCCTAAAATTGTGCCATTTAAAAAGACATTAGACCCTTCCTCTATCACTTCACCTGATGAAGAGGACAGCTCTCTCTATGGGCACAACAGCCCTGGAGAGGGACAAAGATCCCCATCTTCCAGCAAGTCCCATACACACATTGGCAGTGACTAATACCCCCGCCCTGAATTCAGGGGGGCAGTCAGAGGAGCTGGGCAGTGATGGGGGAACACCCCCCAAAATGGGGAGGGTTTTCGGTCCAACCCCTGGCAGAGGTGAGGCCAGAGATTTCAGGCAGGAACTGGGGGGATTCTCTGCCTTGCCCCACTCCTCCCCAAGGCAGTGATGACCCCCCCCCATACACTGGTAGCCACCCCTCCCCAAAGAGATCAGATTGTGGCCAACCCCCAACTCTCCTGGTGGGAGAAGGAGGCGGGTCAGGCAGATGGGAAGGAGGGAGACCCCATGGGAATGTCAGTTGAGTGCCCCACATGAAAACTGGGGAACAGGAATGTGGGGAGAGACCCCAAGTGGCAGAATTATTGGTCCATCATAACACACTGAACTCCAAGACACTTACACACCAGCTGGGGGGAGGGAGAGGAGGGCACAAGAGGTTAGGAAAATGAGGGTAGGGGAGGCAAACTGGACTAGAGGGGCTAGGAGCAGGCGATTCAGGGGCCAGAGCAGCCTGGTCCCCCAAAAGTCCAGGCTCTCCACGATCTGCAAGTAATGTCGTGCAAATGAAAGTGTGATACAAGGACCAATGGGGACTAACTTCTCAGTAAAAAGGAAACACAGCTTGAGAGAAGAGTGATGGAAGAAAAAAGAAGGAAACCAAAAGGGATGTCAGTATGCAAATGATATGCTAAGTAACATGCTGGAAGCTCCCAGAAGACCTTGGGATTTTTTTAGGGCCAAGTGGGGCCAGTCTCAGAGCCTCCCAATGGATGCAAAGCTGATGCACCTAGGGAGGTCTGGACAGGTGCTTTTTGTTTTATTTTTTAGGGGGGGGGGGCGTGTGGAGGGACCGGTAGGCCAGGGTGGAAGGATCAGCTAAATCCAAGGGAAGGAGAAGGAGAGGAAGGGGACTATTGCATAGCAGATGCAAATGAAGGGACTTGGGAGTGGTCAGGAAGAGAGGGAAGGGAGGCAGGAAAGAGAGGAGGAATGGGAACTTCAGGAAGGGGTGTTAAGGACAACCGGAAAAATCTTCTAGTAATAAAACTACAAACAGACCAAATATATATAATATTATATATGTATAAATAACAGCTGGCTATTTACAGGGGGGCACACACACGGACACACACACACACACATGGATCCAGGGGAAGGGAGCTGAAAGATATGGCTGAGAGGTGGAGGAACGGCTGGGGGG